ATGCTGCAACTTAGAAAATTATTACAGATTATTAGTCACTAGTAAGGAATTAATGATTTCTAAATACCTTCTTGTTGTGTGGATTGTTGAATATGATAGTACTAAATCACTGATTAGCTACCATTATCTGAATAAAATGTAATCTGTAGATAAATATATAATTTCAGTAGTTGAATTCATGAGTTGATTCAAGTCAGACCAACATTGAAAACCTGGAAGTATTGGATGACCGTTTCGTCCTAGTATGGGACTCCTCAACAACATGCATCCATGACCCTGCATGCTGAACTCGAACTGAGAACCTTCAGGCTGACACGCAAACGCTTAATCTCTAGACCACTGGACTGGCATCCAGCGGTGTCCCATACTTGAACTAAATTGCCGTCCAGTGCTTCCAGGTTTCAAATGGTTTCTTGCTTAAATGGACTCATGAATTCAACTATTGAAATCACTACAATCTCCACAAACACACGTTCTGACAATACATAATCGACAAATTTCAGTCTCAATGTCCATATAAAGAGAGGTTTTTTCACGGTTACAGGTAACTTACTGATCAACTAGTTAAAAATATTGCTACTAATACTAATAATAATACTTCCACCTGTTAACTCAAAGTAAAGTAGATGAAACTGAGATCACATTTGAACTTGTGAGATTACTTTAAATTGAACTCGCTTAACACCATTAAACCAGTACTACTTAAAACTGAATAAGCTAACAATCCAATGTATTATTTTTACTTGTCAATTAAGGTCCTCACAACAAATTTGGTTGTCAATCTAGTATTTTTTTAGTGATATCCATGAGTAACTTCATATGTGACTGAAAAATGTTAGTACATATTTTCTGTCTCGGTGATCTGCTAATATTATCATAAATAGATTGTTGTCTTATCATCAATACCCAGTTGGCTTACGTTACCGAATATGATTAATCGAAACAGCTAACTTATTGAGAAATGATTCTTAAAAAATATTGAAACGTTGTAGGTAAATAACTCCTCAGAAAATAAGATAACTTTATGGATATTCAGTAACTATGTTAACCTTCTTATTCTAAGCAGAGATTATTAGCTGAAGGCGTTTGGTCAAATAATCTGATCATGTTTCGGCATAACCTACGTAAAACTCCGCTCCTCTTCTAGGTATTAAAGTTTATATTTATATGTTCATCCACCACTCTCGATGTTCAAATTTAATATTCCAATCAACTGTCATTTTATGCCCAGTTTGTCTTTAGTATAGATCATTTTCAAAACGTACTGATACTGATTTCAACATTCGTTTCTGTATTATTCAAAGGATCGATTTATGAAGAAATTTAATTTAAATAAATTAATTTTAGTTCGGAAATTCAAGATGAAGAGGGCGTTATAAATGATTTAAAGAATTTATTTCTATGATATTTACCTCCTCCTCCATATACTTAAGAACTCGATAAAACGCGTGTTCAACATTGTCATTTTATCAAAATATATTATTGACGGTGTTAACCACCATCGCATACGTAGTTTTATGAGGACCACTGTTAACACACTGCTCGGTGATCCGAATAGAAAGAAGCGGAATTTAGAGGGAGGAAATTAGTGTTCGAAGTCGTGACCTATTATAGATTAAAAACTCGGTATATTGTAAAAATGTTAACTATTATCTAAATTAACAGAATAATTCACTAAAAATTGTCTTAATATTACAAATTGATTAGAGCTGAAAAGGTACAATGATTATCGTGAGGTTTAGTCCAATTTATCACTGATAGGAGCTTATCAGTTAAAAATTTTATGGATATCCATTACCATCTGACTTGCAAATAAACGTTATATATTCTATTCTGCTCCCAGACTTATCAATAAAATGTACCATTTATCAATATTGAGTTTATAACTGAACCAGTTTAATCCCTATATATAAAAATGTAAGATTGAACTTACGTACCTACGCCTATTACCCCTCGTAGAGGAGCGTAGGCCGTCCATCAGCATTCTCCATCCAAATCTATTCTGGACAATACTTTCCTGTTCTTGCCAGTTGCTATTCATCTCTTTGAAATTCGCTTTCCATTTCCGATACAATATGTTCCTTGGTCTTCCTCTTTTCCTCTTTTCCCTTCAGCATTCCAAGTTGGCGCTTGATATAGTTTGATGATTTCCACAATATATGTCCCATCTACTTTGATCGTATTTTCTTAATTTCCTCTTCAGTCGGAAGTTGGTTTGTTCTCTTCGACATTAGACTGTTGCTAATGGTATCTGATCAACGGACATCGAATATCTTACGTCGATAATTGTTTATAAATACTTGTATTTTTTTATGAGCGTTACAGTAGTTTTGCAGGTTTCAGCTCTGTACAGTAGAACTGTCGTGATGTTCTGATTTCGATGTTGGTTGACAGTTATTTTGGGTTCCATATGTTCTTCGACTGTAGGAATGCCATCCTTACTTTGCCAATCCTTGCCCTTACGTCTGCATTGGGTCCTCTTCGTTCATCGATGATGCTGTCCAGGTACATGGAAGTTACCACCTCCTCCAGAGCTTCTCCATCAAGTGTTATTAGATTAGTTTTCTCCGCGTTGTATTTGAGGATTTTTGCTTTTTTTTTTCCTTGGGTATGGTGAGACCTGCCGCTTTTGTGGCTTTCATTTCAGTGATTATTTCGACCTGAATATGTTGGCGCGTGGGGATCTGTGCGATATTCTGGATCATTAGTTAAAGACATTGAGTGGGTTGACTGAGAATGGATCATAGTGATGTAGATTCATCAACTCTTTATATTTCGCATAAGTTGTAGGCGTCAATATTATTACTCACCTTATCACCCATTCAATTCATTCTCCGTCTTATGACCACATTCACTATATGTTTGTTCTTTCTCGCTACCAGGGCAAGTACGTAGTTATTCTAACTACTTTTGTTTATCCATTTTGTCAATTTTATCTTACTGAGCTGATTAGTTATGGCAATATTCGTCGATGTGGATTTGTCCTAGGCTTTAATTTGCTCCTTTTTATTTTTTTATTGTCTCTTTACCATTTAGTTCGTTATCAAGTCTAAATTAAATAGTCGACATATCTAAAATGATTGATCGTTGAGTAGTAAGTAGACAATATTATATCTATCTAGTCATTCTGTCGTGATTAAGTCCTATCCATAAAGTTAAAATGTAGCCACTAATCTAGGAGGTTAGACATACTGTCCACTGTCTTCTGATGTCTAGCAATTAGAGGTTGTCGGCAGGAAATTTTCCTTAATCTAGGTTTCATATAAGTGAATACTGGTACACAAGGCGTAACACTGTTAGTCATTGTCTGACTTTGACATCAACTATTTAATATAGAAAACTCAGTTTGTACTTAGCATTTAAAAAACTGGAGAAAATCATTGGCGAATCGCTGAATAGCGGTAACTAGAGATGTGCTTGTCTAGTTCACTTAATGTTAAATGAACTCTACCAAGTCTAAACAACCTTCTTAGACGTAGTAGACATTCAGTAAGAAAAACAGAAATCACTCGTTATGCAACTTTATACTATCTCCTAGTTTTATATTCAACCTTGTGGAAATCGATGCTACTTGTGAGATTTGAACCCATATTACTCAACGATTTCATAGATTCTGAAACTGAACTATTTAGGCATTTGACTGATTTCCTATACAAATGAAGTGTTTACATTATACATTCAGTCTCTAATATTTTGACTGACAATATCTGTTACAAAAATATTTGATTATTACCAATCACTATTTCTCCTTTTTAAAATGTTCTACGAAGTTATCTGAAAGCAGTACATTATCCCACCAGTACAATTATTTACCAGAATTATTGCAACATTTACCATTGATTATACAGTTATCATGTAATGTATATCATTATGAATAGGAATCTTTTAAAATCGTATCGAATTCAACTGTCCTCATGATCTACATAGTCAGTTTTTTATCCTCATAATATAAACCTGAAAATAAATGAAATACTCAATACAGTTTTCATAGTATCACTTATTGTAACCTGACTTTTTTGTTCTCATGATTAGTACATGTTAATGATTATAGATTTCAAAATATCTAACATGTATTTCACCCCCCTTTCAACTATTTATTATTTAAAATAACCAATTGATTTGATAAATTAATACATATATTAATATTATCATTATCAATGTTATTTTTTGGGTAAGAGGTTATTACACAACTAGAATATTAAATCATATATCTATTATAATAACCACCCCCTACTAGGACTTATCAAGATTCTGAATGGTCAATATCATATCATTTTACCTACCACGTAGTTTATATCAAATATCTAAATGTTAATTGGTTAACGCGATAAACAAATCTACCAATTAGAGTAAATGCTTTCATCAACACACCACAGTTCAAGATAAATCATTTAACTTATTTAATAATGTAAGGTATATATATATATATATATATATTGGTTATATGTATCCCTTCATGTATTCATTGTATGTATGTATATTGATGTATAATATTTGCATGTATGTTTATTAGGTATGTCATTATAATGATTCGATATTTGATAACTTTGTTATTTTTAAGGTGAGAGAGATAAAAAGAGACGGACATGTATTCTTAATATCATTCATTCATTTGAATAAGAGTCTCATCTCAGCTGATCTACACACATACATGCTGTAAAATCCAAAAAACACATATATATATATATATATATATATATATATATATATATATATATATATATATATATATTAGATATCAGTATTATTACTAATATTAAAATATATTCCATGTGTATTGGTTCACATTTCCTTTATTTCTTCTGGCATTTATCATTCATAGTTCTATTCTATTGTTATATCACGGACGTATGCTAATATACACTTGGTTAATTGTATCCTCTATTTAACATTTATGAAAAGATAATAATAGTAATAAGTTTGTTTGTTCAACGGACATATTTATTTATATATACATTAATTTTCTTCCATTCATCAATATAACATTTTTTTTTAATATTATGGATAATTCCATGGATGATAATAATATCACGAATTCTCAAATGATTGATATGACCGAAGCAACAATTATGAAAACAACTACTAACAATTATACTAATCCTATTGAAACAACTGTAATCAGTACTACTGATAATAATAATAATAATAATAATAATAATAATAATAATAATAATAATAATAATAATACTATTTCTTTTCAGCATTCTCGAGACATTATTAATGAAAAAACTGATGATAATATCAAGGCTGATAATATCGATGACAATGATGATAACGATGATGACAATCGTAATGATGATCAGAATAAAACTGTAATTCATATACTACGATGCAAACATTGTAATTTTGAATCAATATTACGTTCACGTTTCGATAGACATTTACCATGTTCACAACAAATGGACACTTATCAATTATATACATGTTCAATATGCTTCACCAGTTCAACATCGAAATTAATTATTGATGAACATAGAAGAGTGCATCATTTGAATACCAGTAAAGTAAGTCTATGAAATATAAGGTGATTTGTAAGAGTCATACACTGTTTGATAAATATGTCATAACTTAATGATCCGGTGATATTTTTGTAATTTCAATAGATATATTAATACATGATGGAATGATGTTAAATGGTATTCATTATTAGGTAAGTGCCTCGTAGTATGGATATGCGCACGAGCATACTATCGTATCAAGTTTCACAATGATTATTAATTGTTGAATAGCAATCAATGTGAAGTTCATCTAGAACTTAGTCTAATCAAAGAACTCTAATCCCTGTACAGTACAATAACAACTCTCACAATACACTATCATGACAAATATCAACTATCAAGAAACTTGCAATAAATAAACTTTTCTATTCGATTCCCTTCAAACTCTTAATGTTTAACATAAATGAACTGAGAATTTTAATGTTTTATTAAATCTTTCGATCAAACATTGATTTATCGGTTTTAATGACCATAATGACGACGATTACACTATTTCGGTCAATTTTACTTCAATGGTAATTACACAAAATAACCATAAACTAATAAATAAATAATCTTCACATATTACTTAAAAATGGTAAGTAGAATTAATAAGTAAAACAGAATACTTAACATTGACTTTCAACAAAAAATGGATACAATTCCCACTCTAAATATATTTGTTTAATTAGTTAGATAATAATCACTAGCCCTTGTAAACATCTTCACATACTATAATGGCATAAAATTCATTTTTGCAAATGGTGACCCCCATCAAGCAACTTTAATAAATCTTATCATTACTGAAGAGTTTTACAAATAATCATTCTTATATAATGTTAAATAATTATTGAGGGAGAAGTGGATGAATGTTTAACTATGTTAATAGTGAAATAGTTACTCACCGATAAGATTGTGTATATATTGCTATAGTTAATTCATTGAATTTCAATTCAATAGTCCAACTGTAGAGCATCTATTGTAATTTCATCTCATTGACGTGGTTATGGTTGTACACTGGTGTGAAACTCTATACTTAACGTTAAATAACTACCAGTCAATAACTTTTTATCATCAATGATTGTTAAATTAACAAACTAGAAGGTGGTTGCGCATTAACGCGGATCAATCTAAGTCAGATATGTAATCATTTTAATGATAACTGAGTGATCTGAATTTTCAAGGGCTAGGTTGAGATATGAATTTCTTCAGTTCGACCCCAAGTAAGTCCATGTGTTTATACTGTTGGGGAGCCCCCTGTTACAATAAAACACTTATCTAATGGCTCCTTGTTTTCAATGGTTAGTTAATAAATTATTTTCAAAATGTGCAGTCTAGACACATCATAAAAATAGTATAACTTACAAAAAGCTCCATTTGATCTACATTAAAACTGATTTTTATTACGACTTCAAATCATTCGTAGAAAACTAATTATAATTATCAATTCATACAAATATTGTACACGTGTTTTATCTGAAAAAAAACTTGGAACACTGACACTGTTACCCTCACACTACTACTACTACTACTCAGTTTCATGACAAAAGTACCTCACTATACAGTATAATATCATTGTTATTGAATAAAATATTTATCTCTACACCCTGTCAATCACATAGATTTTAATGTTAGGAGCTTTTGCAAAATTATGAGCTTGTTTGTATGTTTACACGTACCACTCACTGATTGACAAATAGAAAACAAAATGTACATTAAACAAGAAACACACTTATCCACGGAATGTTCACATAATAAATATAATTGATACTAAATTATTATCAGTATAGGGTTGTAAAGATTGATAAGTTTTAATTGAGTTCATGAACCGATCAATGCTAGACCACCATTGAAAACCTAGATGTTAAACATTTGCGCGCTAGACTGAAGGTCATTGGTTCGAGTCCCGCCACTGAAGTTGTGGATGTACACTGACGAAAAGTTCTATACTAGAACGAAACGGCTACCCGGTGTTTCTAGGTTCTTAAAGGTGGTCTAACATTGATCGGTTCATTTAGTCAGAAGTAAATTATTATTTGTAATCGATTCGATTTTATTTTTTTCGTTCATTTACTGTAAACCACCCTCATCAATGTATGTTCCATATTACATAGGGAGAAATAAATAATCTTAGGATTGCAAAGTTATGAATTCTTTTGGTTTGTTTTCTGGTTGAGATGTTTTGATGCAACTTAAACTAAAAAATTATTAGGTTTAGAAAATAACGTTCTCCGAATTCTAGTGTTGTTTTCTCTGAATAAATAATAACTGAATAGCTTTCATAACTGTCATGGGAAATCTTATGTAAGTATGTATTATGTATGCATATTGTGTAGAACTGAGTTTCTAGATTATTCCACAAGAATCAAATCAGTTCCCTCTAAAGGCGTTGTATTATGACTGGTTGCTTTTATAGATTTCGTTATGTTTATTTGTTCTCGTATTCGAGTTAAGAAGAGTACTCGATTGATCTACGACTATGTGGTTAATTTATTTTTATTGTATGAATTAACAGATAGGTTCTATTTTGATGTATCCATTGAGTGCCGAGTAATCTGAATGCTATGTTTCTAGAAACACTCTGAGACTCTTAGAATAACTAAGAGGTTAACTTCTGCATCAAATAATCGCTGATAATGTTATTTAATGAAAGATCAAAGAACCCACAAGAATTTTAGATATTCTCTAACATTTCAATAGTCCTTCAATTATATGTTAAAAAGAATGATCGTCAATTGATACGTCAATTTGTATGATCGAATAAGTGATATATGTATACATAGTTAAGAATACGATAGTTAATTTCTAGGATATATAACTTATATTTTATTTCAGTGTTTTGTCTTTGGCGGTCAAATTACTTCATTCATGGTATCAGAAACACATTGCGCAATAACTTGGTAAAATCTGAGAACCATACAGTAAATAATTCATTTGCAAAACATCTATCAATCGTCTTAGACTTTGTTGTTCCTTCGTCTCCATATCAATCACTCTCTGTTCTCGTTCTCTTCTCGAATTCCTGAACCTTCTACTTCCAGACCTTCTACTTACAGTTGGTTATACATACTACTTATATCTGTCGAAATTATTAGCACACGCCACAGTAGTATTAATAGTAAATTTAGTGTATGCTAATATAAGTAATTAAACATTTCAAATGTCTTACTAAAATAATAATTTATAAGTAAGGAAATTGTTGTCAATCAAATGGTTATTGTATTTGAATGTTAAACTCATAATAAAGAGTACTTAAATAATAAACTATAGTATAAATTAGTCATATGTGCTCTACTGTGTATTTTACTTATTAAATGTTGGCTGATGTTAGAAATGCAAACTTTAGGATGTCAACCAATTGGTTTGAAAGTTAGGTGCATATCACATGATATGAAGACTTCGGCTTCGGTCCCTTAATTAGGATTTGAATGAGCACTGCTGAAGTGTCCTACACTATGGAAGAAATGTCTACTTAATGTTTCCTCGTTTTCAACAGTTGTGTAATTAATATCGTTATGTAGTGTGGACAGGTTTCTTCCAGTTATGAAGGTCCATTTCATTACCGAATGGTCGAAATTGGCTTGTTTTCCTAACCAAGTCTAATAACATCTTAAGATGATGAATTAAATAACTTGTAGAATGTTCCATCATGAAGTCATGACGAATCAACAAATCACTCATATGAATCAGGTATTTCTTATGTTATACTAGTATTTCATAAGCCGATAAATTTATTGTTTTTTTCACCGGAAAATATGGAAATCATTTGGTTATCATTTATTGCATATATTCAATTCACCTTAATTCATTATTGGAAAATTGTTATACCAGCTGATAACAGAAGATGGAAAATGTATGTAGTTTATAGTAACGATAGATGTTGGTTGGCAATATATAAAATATCACTGAATAAATTTAACCCTTAAAATAATGATAATAATTTTTATTGTTAGTTATAAGTATTATTACACAGCTTTCGTCACAAGTCAAGAATGACTGTAAAACTGAACATGGTAACTAGAATATTTTTAATAACTAAATTATAAGTCATTTGAAAAAAGATTTTGTTTCTAAGGATTTCATGATGTTCCACGAAACATAGATTCAAACTTTGTTCTAGTTAGCGATTATCACTATGGCGTATTTGAAATCTTGAAGATGAATATTCTTTGTTGAATTGAAATTAGGAGTTACCTAATGTCACAGTTTCAAATGCTATCAATTGATTAAGACTGATATACTTACACTGATTTACTAAAGACTAATATTGCATGACATTTTTGTTTAGTCTTGAGTATTGGTGGAATTCACTTAAATTAGTCACCGTATTGCAATTTGATCGACAGAATTTAGTTCAACTTAAAGAATTAGACAAATATGATAAATATTATTCAGATAGTGAATCTTTATATACATACACATGTGCACTCATACACATCCATCCATTGAAACTCCAATTGTTTGGACTTATCTTTCAGATTTAGTTTTGAGCATTCGAGTAACACTTCATCCTATTATGACTAAAAACATGCATAAAATAGGAAGTTATAAATTAAATATAAGCCTCTTTTGTTTGAGAGGTTTCAGAAGCATTAATTTAATTTATGGGTGGTATTTTAAAGGAATTGATTTTAGTTAGGGTTCTAGTGAAAATTATGAAAAATTAAACGGTTATATTGGATTGATATGGTAGTTAAAGCTCATGATCTAACCAAGGATCTAACTCGAAATCTTTAGGGTTCACAGAATCCTCTTAAATCTTAAACCACCAAGTAGACATTTAATAATCTACGTTTTTAACTGTCCATCAGTTCATAGTGTAAAGTAAATTGTAATTTAATGGCATTGTTGACAACTGTTTCACTTTTAACATGTTTCAACTTCTTCCATCATGAAATCCCAATAAAGTTTCAAGAAATTTTCTCGAAGTATGTCACCTGTGAGCATGTGATAATTATTTTGTTGGAAGGGTTTTAGTGAGATAGATCGATTCTTTGATGGTTGATCAATTATTAATTTTAATAGTTATTTCATGAGTC